AAGTTTAAAAAAAAAAAAACAGTTCTGATTAATTGTCAGCCATCTACAAACTTATTTTTGCACCCTGTGTCCAGAAAAATCCATCATACAGTAGGAGATAAAAGCTAGTATATTGACCATCCACACTGGGGCAGGCAGTGTCAGTACAAGCTTATCAAATTATTTGCCTCTTTCACAAATTATTTTCTACAAATTAGATGATCTTTGTAATTTTTATAGCAGCTGGTATCATGTACTTATTAGATGTTTCAGTTTATGTTTTACATGTGTAAAGAGTTTTGTCTGATGTGCTGTATACTAGTGGAACATGCTGAACATATACATGCTTTCAGACAAAAACATTTACATGATACTGATTACACACACGCCCTAAACCGCTCTGTGCTCTGACGTTTACATTTATTTCCTACATGACGAGGACCCAGCCAACACGTAGAGATAGTCAACAAACTCGTCAAGAGGTTTGTTGCAGAGATGTGCAGCTTTGTGGTTACTGCCAGAGAAAGAGATTATACTTCCTTATTTCGCTGTCAGTGTGATTTTAATTTGTGTACAATTGTTTCATGTTTCCTCATTCTTTAGAACTTTTGTTAAAAAAAACAAACATTGGACTGAACCAAATCAAAATCATTTCAAAATAAATGACATATAAGAATACAGTATATAGCTCAAAGCAAAACTAGGTCACTTTTATAACTGTTGAGCAGATGAATTCCTGGGCAATAATAAACAGCATTATACACTTCGGGGGGGTTTGCTACCCTACCTTGTCTGGTGTTACCAGTGGCTAATAGTAGCTAATTTTAGCTAATGTTAGCAAACCTTAAGGCAGACATTTCTGCACAACAGATATTGCTAAACATGTTGAATGACTTCTTTAGTTGTGAGACTGTGTGTGTCACAGATGAAATCAACAGTTTAATTATTGATCTGCTTCTTTGATAAAACCAATGAAATGTTAATTTGTGACATGCTAGAACATAATATAGCCGTAACACAAGCATAGAAAGTTTATAATGTCAGCTAAATGATATAGTTATGTCAGTAGCACAGCATTATCCAAAGTTTGCCAACATTAGCTAACATTCAGATTCAGAATGCTTTATTAATCCATTTATTCACCACCATAATCGACTGGTTACACAAGAACCAGTAGCAGCAAAACCATTGAGTGTACTGTAGTGAGCAAAGGTGTGTTTTCTTGCTTAGCATTTGAAATTTTTATTTGTAAGAGCAAAAACTCTTGTTTGTTCTCCAAATATTGACATGGTCTCACTGTAGCTGGATGAAGCCACTGCATGTAAATTCACATATAAAGTAAGTGGTTTCCCCTCCAGTCTTTTCATCAACAGCTAAATATCAGACCTCATTAATGATATAAAACCAAGTTACTGATTTGAGTAGCAGCTGCTCTGCAGCACTTGGTCCTCTGGGAGATGCTCTGTCCTGTCTGTGGTTGTGTCTACTGCTGCATGTAGCATGTTTGGACCAATTGTAAGTGAAGCCACTTTCACTGTGGCTACACCTGCCCCTCAAAAACGGGGCCTTGTTTGTTTACTTATCCTGCGACCGTTACTGTAAGCCTCATGCTTCGCTACACAAGAAGCAGCAGCTGTGTCAGTTCAAATGTTTTGAAGTCCAGTAGCAGGAGTCATTTCATGCTGCAAAAGTTTGTCTTGATGAGATTTATCACAGATCATTTAGAGATCAAATACTATACATTTGAAGAGTTGAAAGATGGTGAAGGATTCCCTATAATCTAAATCAAATTTACCCATAACAGCATTTGACATGACCCCACTCCTGCACACAAACATAATACAATGCAAGATACTTTGTCCTCAAGTCAACAGTGGAAAAAAGCAAAGACATTGAGGCTTGAGCAAAGACATTATATTACAGTACCTTGTAATGAGATATTAAATGTAATGCATTTTAGCTCTTTACATGCTTATGTTGGATCAGTTATTCTCTCTTAAACATGTATGTCACTTACAGCCCTCCATAACTTGCCAGGTCACCAATAAACATCAATAAATGTCTTGATGCCCCACATTCAGATGAGCTGTCATGCAGCTAAAGGTGCATATATTTTATTACTGGTTGGTTAAAAGTGTAATTTAGTAACAACAACAATAAAACCAGGCCATTTGGGCTGGGCTTTCAAACAAATAATGTGTCAGTGGGGCACCTTCTGAATTAGGGAGCCAGGGGATGTCTTTTGTTCTTTTTGGGCTGAGGAAAGGTGTGTCTCAGACGAGGATTATCCCAGGCCGAGTGGAGAATGCCCCTTCCTGGGGCCCAGTCATGCAGTCCATCATCTATTGTGGGCGCTAATCATAGACTGTAGACATTTGCATATAACCAGTGATTTCAGCCATATGTGAGTAAGACATGTTGTTTGGTTAGTGGAATAAGAACTGGTTTACAGATTGAGTCTATTCAGCACAGAGCTCAGGTCTCAGTCCACTTATGACTCATTTCCTGTCTTTGGTTACAGATTGATATGTCAAAAAGAAAAAAAGGGGGAAAAGGTCATGAAATGAATAACCACACGTCATATTAAGCATTGCATTTTGTGGCCATGCAGTGTGGATTCACTACACCTCACTGTCCTCTACCCTGCATGTGCAGGATGTCCTCTGACACAGGAAGCTGTATATAAACGTCATTGGAAGAGAAGGGAGGAGTGCAGATTGGGGGGTGGAGGGTGGGTTGTCTTTTGTGAATTAGAATACAGAAGCTCTGACCCAGCACTTCACGTTTGATGCTTCTTCTCTCTCTGTTCCTGCTCCTTCCAACCTGTGTGCATGTCTCCATCAGCGCTGGCTGAGGAACTCGTGTTCAGCACACAATGAACTTGCTGACCCCAGCTCTGCCGGCAAAAACATCTCACTCTGTCACTCTCTCCGTGCTCACTGTGAACTCTGTAACCTCTGCTTACTTTCTTTTTTAGTAAAGCCCTTCCTTTGTGCACAGCCTCAACTCTGAGGATCAGCCACTGTTGAAGGTTGAAGTTGCTGTGGTCCACTACCTTCATCCAAAATTATACCCAAAACCATTTTAAGTTTGTCCTGTTTTTATAATTATTTAAATTGCAAATCTGGTATTGTTATGCAGTTACCTAAAGTGGTTTATTTTTTATGTACTTTATAAAACCATTCTCACTATGCAATAGCTGTTTGACCATAGGTGCTTGTTAAATGCTAAATAAGTAAATAAAATAATTTAAATTAATAGTTGTAATAATACAATATCATGCAGTTCTCTCATATTAAAATGGCTGAATATGAGTCATACTCTCATTGCTAATTAACACTGAATGCATTTACCAAAAGCCTAACCCCAGTCCAAGACCATCATTTCACAGACACACACAATCCACCTATTGTTTTGAATGTGAGTCTCTTTATCTTCATGCTTTGTACATACTGTATATCCCTGTTGAATCCTGTGGTTGGGGACATCTGGCTTCACTAACTGCAGGGAGCTGCTTTTGGGTTCACATGGGTATTGAAGGGAAATTCCCTGCACATCTTGTGCTGCTTTTTGGCATTTCAACGCAGCAGTGAGTTGCACATTAGGCAGATTTTGTCCAGAGAGGCCAGGCTGTACAGTGCGTCTGTGTTCTGTGTGGTCATTTCTCTGGTTCTCAACCATCTTTGTTTTTCTTCCTGAGTGAATTACTGCATTAGAGAAAGCAGACTCAGTGAGGTTCCAAGTATACATGTTAGCACAAGGACAAATGTGGACGCATACAAAAAAGGGAGCATGTTGGTTAAACCCAAAGACATACAGTCTGAATCTGCTCTTTCAGTAGCATAACTGTCAAACTAAAACCTTGGGTTTGAGACACGCTGTGATGATCCTGATCTTTTTTTTTTTCTGTAACATGTCTACTGAAATGACCTTTCCTTGTTTTTATCTGTGTTGTTTTTCCAGTTTGGTGGAACAGTGTTTCTCCTGGTGGAAGGGTGGGATAGGCCTGTGCAGATAAAACTTGATGGATATCACAGGAAACATATAATTATTGCATACTGTGAGGAGGCAATTGGACGACCAACCTAATAAACACTAATATATGACTTTTCAAAGCACAGTTGCAAACTATTAAATTGTGATAAAAGACATAACTTAAAATTTAAAAGATGTTAATCAAACCCACTGCAGTAGAAGTTCATAAAAAAATTGTGATTAAAAAGTCATAATTTGAAACACAAAGAGACGGAGACTGTTGCATGATATTGCCTTTGGTACTTTTTGTGTTAAAATTTTTTTCCTTTAATTATAGCTGCTTGTGTTTGGAGAAAAAAAAACTCTCTTCAGTTCTTTTGTTATGCATTGAATCAGTCTGATATCTTGTTTTTTGGTTGTCGTCAAATGCAGTGCCCTGGCTGCTCTGACATTTGTCTTGCAGGGGCACCGAATATTTAATGTGAAATAAATTACAAGACAATTCCCTTCCATCCCTCACTCTCTCGTGCCAAAGCGACCTGCGTGCTTTGCAGGAGGGTGAGAGGAGGGAGTGGAAAAAGCTTGGTAGACATAATATTGTTAGCCGAGGATATGGACGTATGCATACTTCCTGTTCATCTGTTGGCTTTGACATCACACACAACTACCAGCCTCATCTTCAGCCTGTATGAAAAATGACGAGAATTTCCCCTGCAAGACAAAACACCTTCTAAATTAATTCCCATTGAAAAGCAACCAGGGATAACAGAGTTGCTTGTTTTGCAGGAGAATGTGACTATTTATTTACCTAATGTGACTTTCACATCACTTTATAGGTCTACTAGAGCATTTGAAGGTTATATGTGAAGAAACTATTGACCAATCATTGGCCCAGTATCATAAAAAAATCATCTTTGAAAGATAAAGTCTGTTGTGGAGTTATTTTGGCATTTTAGCCTACACACACACACACACACACACACACACACACAGAAAGTGTGACATCCACATGTAACACACAAATGATTCACTCTTTTCCAATCCAGAACTCCATCAGACACAACCTGTCCTTGCACAGCCGCTTTGTGCGCATACAGAATGAGGGAACAGGAAAAAGCTCCTGGTGGATGCTGAACCCAGATGGGGGAAAGAATGGAAAGTCACCACGACGCAGAGCTGCCTCCATGGACAACAACAACAAGTTTGCCAAGCTCAGAGGAAAGGCCACAAAGAAAAAGGTACGCTTCCTTTTATTAACACTGTACTTGCCATTTTCTGGATAGTTTTCTCACAATTCTGCTAAATTTTTATTGTGTGTCAATAATACACTGGTATATTTTATAGCAACATGCAGGGTTTTATGTTTTCCTTTACCCAGGTGGCTTTACAAGAAGGGGTTGAGGCAGGAGCAGGCAGCCCTGGCTCCCAGTACTCTACCTGGCTGGGAAGCCCAAACGAGCAAGGTAAGGAGGACTGTGAAGCCTGGAGCTCCTTTAGGACCCGGACCAGCTCTGACGCCAGCACTCTGAGTGGCCACCATTCGCCTTTTCCTTCTGAACAGGATGACCTGGGGGAATCTGATGGCCACATGATGTATCCTGGAGCGGTGGTGGCCAAGATAACCTCCACCCTGCCCAGTCTGTCCGAGGTGGCTGGATCCATGGGCCAACATGGCTCTGAGAATGTCATGGAGAGTCTGCTGGATAACCTGAACCTGCTGTCACCTAAAAACCCCCAGCTTGGTTCTGACTCCTCAAATTCTACCATGCTTCAGAGTAGCCCCTACAGCTCTTCTGGCTTGAGCCCACACCCACAGCAAGCCTACCATAAGTGTGCGTATGGCCAGGTGAGGATGAACTCTCTCTCCTCTTCTCCCATGCAGACTCTGCCAGAGACCAAGCTGACCTCTGGGGCTTATGAGAAGCAGTATATCTACCCTGCTGGCCTCCTCAAAGAGCTGCTGACTGCAGATGCAGACGCCAGCAGGGACATGATGCCCTCTAGGGATACACTCGTGACTCAGGTTGGGAGGGGAGGTTGCCTAATGCCCATTTATAGCAGTCAGAGCCATGTTGGAGGTCATAATGGAATGAAAATGATGAATTCTCCTCAGAGACATCCAATTCCTCATGTAACTCCACAAGCTGCACATAACCAGGGTCCTTCAACCTCAAAAGACTTGAATAGCTGTAATATGATCCCACTAAGTGGTATGACTAGCCTTTCAGGGGCCACTCGTCAGATGACTAACCTCAGGACACGCACGCAGCTGCCCCGGGGACACCCAGCACACACTAATGACATCTTGGCAAGCTACAGCAGCAGCAACGGCTACAGGGAACTTAACTTGGTGCACCCACATGGTCGTCATCAGGAGCGGCTGCCCAGTGACCTGGACAACATGTCCATTGAAAGGCTTGAATGTGACATGGAGTCTGTCCTCCATGACACCCTCATGGATGGCGGGGCACTGGACTTTAACTTTGACCCCACAGCTGGGCCTCATGGGTTTTCTCAGAGAGTGAAGACCAACACACACAGCTGGGTGTCAGGCTAGGATGCACTGGTGATCACAAACAGGTGAGACTGACAATCAGTCTGGCAGTATATGTACATTTATTAAGAGATGTCTAATAAAATGTCCTCAGAATGATTTTTCCATTCTTACTCACAGGCTTTCTCAGCATCACATCACTGCTTACCTTCATGCAGAGACTGGAAAATGTCACTCCAAAGAGGCCACTGCCATCACTGTCCAGAAAACACTCAATGCAAAGTTATTTGTCTTGAGTTGAAGTCCATGTCTAACAGTGCATGTTGTTACTTTACATTCCAAGAGTAAACAGTTGAAGGACAGATCAATCAGACAAACTGAATGAGAGACAAGTCTACACTTGTGAACTAGCCTGCCTGTCAAAAAATTTAAAATATGTATATATTTGTGTATTTTTGCTGATTCGTTGCATATTGCAGTATATAGTACAGCACATTACATACGACAGAGCAGAAGATCAGAGTGCCTGATAAAATAAGTAAAAGAGCCAGTGCTGGAACATGTGGTGAGCGTGTAGAAATGTTAGCACATTAGGCTGTGTTTTTTGGCCAAGTACTAAATGTGCCATATTTATTTATTTATTTTTGTATCACATTTGATACATTAGGCATTTTTGGCAATTTTTTTTTTTTTTTTTTTTTTGTACAGAAACCTCACGTATCAAATATGATACAAATGGTTTTATAGGGTTAAAATTGTATCGTATGGTTTGAAAACGGCACTGATATCTTTGAAGGAATACTATATATATATATATATATGTATATATGTATATATGTATATATGTATCAATGCTATATTCTCCTGGACCAAAAACAAAGTCTGCCAAACACAGTGTTCTGTATGGTCTAGTTAGTGACAAGTTTTAGCTTTTAAGGAATACATTCAATAAGATCTTTTAGCATCTAGCTCCTAACAGCAAATGATTACACAACTTAAACATTTGTAGACACAAATGTTAGATTTAGATTACTCACAATTAGATTTAGAGAGGAGCTGCAACCTTTACTGGAATTAACTCATCAATTAGATACTGTTTGAAAATATTTATTTATGCTTTTCTTTTGATTGTGTCTGTTGGATTCTTGCTTTATATGCTTAAATAAGTGTGCCTGTGGTGTTTGCAATGCTCTGTATATACTGTATTTGAGTTGCATTATATTATTATTGTTTTTATTTTTACATTAAACTAATATCAAATAATAAAGCTACACATATATTTAAAATGTTGCCTTCTAAAACCAGTCCACTGAAAGCCCATATCACTGTCAGTTAATGTAGAGAAGCCTGCTTTGTGAATGCTGACTGTACCATTAGTTGTTTTCATGCAATAATTAAGAGTAATTTGGAAAATGCGAGTGTTTGGCAACTCCTCCAAACCTCTGAATTTGCCACCAGCAACTATACAGTCGCTCAAACCTCTGTGGCTTCAGGAAATTCTACACACCTTTCAAAACCTCTTTGCATAACTTGGAAAAACATGGTGATCATGATGAAATCTAAGCAGCTTTTATCATTTTCAGAAAAGGGATTTTTTTTTGCAGAATTTGGTGACTTTCATACGACTGAAGCTTTGTGATGCAGGGCGAGCAGGTGCAGACGGAGAGGCTGACTTTTAGACATCTGGTTCCCAGCAGCTACAGTGTTTATGCACCAAAGAGTTGTCTACTCTCCTTAACACATTTCAAAGAACCAATTCACTGTGCCTACATGATCTCGCAGATTATTTGTACATATTAAAGTTTTAAATGTCTTGTAAGGATTGTACTGAAATATGATACTTTATGTATTATTGTTATAAATTGTTGTTTACACATTCTCATTCCAAACTATATCAATAAATATTTGAACACTCATATATACCTCACAATATTTTACATCTGAAGTGTTGAAGGGATTTTTCCTGCCATTTTTCTCAGTGAGTAATTTATCAAAATGTCTTCATTTTTTTAAATACATGGTTTTGTACATATTTTCCTTTTTGTATTTGATTATTGTTAAAGCCAGTTTTAGTTGGGCCTGTTTAGAGAGATGCATCGTCTGTCCTTCCATTTCTCATGTTTGTTTTGCTTGGGGATTACAGACATTAGTTTATAGTAAATACCATGTAACAGCACAGTAAATAATTTTAAATAAAAGTTTGTTTGAAATGAAAGACTTTTTGTATGAGTCTTTAATTTAGTATATATATATATATATATATATATATATATATATATATATATATATATATATATATATATATATACGGTATATATATGACCTGCTATTGTCATCCCCTGTTACACTTGTCCCCTGATTTTTCTGCTAACATTAACTAATGCTAACTTACTTGAGATTGATTACTCACCTGTGTCCTCGGCATCACCTGCTAATATCAGCTTCCCTGATAGCGATTGGTGCTCTCTTCTGTAAAATACTCATCTCTATCTACTTAGTTACCAGAGAAGTCCTCCTGTTTAAGTTGCTTTTCTGCAGTTCTTCCATTAAAAATCTGCTTTCACTTCACCAAAGTTGCATTGTCTCTGGTGTTGCAACCAAAAAGTACTAAACCATCACACTTAACGCTAATGATGCAACTTGAGAAGGTTACACAGCCCTCCTAAACAAAGCCCTAAAGCAGAAAATAATGAGACATTTAAGGCATCTTAAAATGTTCAAGGCTAAAATCACAGAACATCTACACTATAAAATGTTGCTGTTGACTAGGTTGAGCATTTAGAACATGAACAGGATGCACCCCATAACAACCTACAGGTTCAAAATTAATTCCAAAAAACTGATAGGATTTTCAAGGCATAAAATGTAAACATATTCCTTTAAGCCTAAAGCTTACTTCATTGGTCTAGAGTATAGGAAGTGTTCAAGTATGTCTTAATAAAAAACAAATATCAGGATGCAAAAAGTGGGTTATTTCAGTGTCAACATTTGTTCACACTTTGGGTTCTGTCAGAAGTGACAAACATGCTGTCAGTGAGTGCAGGTTCATTTCCTGTGTGAAAACAGGCCACATCACAGAAGCAGCTACAGAAGCAATCTCATGTACAGTATCTCCAACTTTGTTAATCAGTTTAATAGCCGACTCAATAAGAACGTCATACGCTTTCAGATAATAACACACCATTGGTATTCATGTCAGTTATTTTGTTTTTTGTCAAGGAAAAATCTTTTCTAGTTTCAGTTCACACAGCAGCACATCTCAAAGGTTTTCATGTCATAAGGAAAAATGCATTGCACTCTTTTTCTCCAACCATCACTTGTTTCTAACAGTAACATACCATCAGCCAGTCGATTCTCTGCACTTCCATCACTGTCTGGTTTGGCTCAGCAACCAAACGGGACAGGTACAGACTCCAGCGGACAGTTAAGTCTGCAGAAAAAAATCATCAGTGCCAGCCTGGTCTCCATGAGGTACTTGTACACTTCTCAGGTCAAAAGGAGTGCAGAGAAGATTTCTGCAGTCCCCTCACATCCTGGACATAGTCAGTTTGAACATCTCCCCCTCTAGACGGCAATACAGGTCACTGTACACCAAAACATCTAGACACAGAGACAGTTTCTTCCCTTGGTCAATCACACCTGTATACAGTTAGTCTATGTTTAAGGCTATCACAGGATGCAGTAAACACAACTGTGCAAAAACATAATGATGTACATTTAGTAGCTCTTTTAACTTGTATATATTTGTGAACATTTTTGTCTTCTGTTTTTTTTTACGTGTGATTTTGGTTTTATTCTGATTTTATATCACTGTGCACATCAGGGGGCCACTGGGCTGGAGTCAAGTTCCATTTATTTCTGATAATACTTGATAATGCTTATGCTTCCAGAATTGTATTTATTTTAGTGAACATAACATATTCATAAATGCATTACATCTGCTGTTTGTTTAGTGTTGTGCATTGCATAAAGTGATAGCTGTATGCTTGTAAAATTGGTGATTTTATATTACTCTGAATGACATGATCAACCCCGTGCCTACTCCAGGGTAAAACGCTGAAACGTTTGGTACAGTGATTTTAGTTTGTGGCTGTATGGCTGTAATTGATCACAAATGTGTCACGGTTTGCTCATTCAACAAATTACAAACATTTATCTTATAGAGAGTTTATGATTTGTTCCACAAACATTACCTGACACAGTTTTGGATTAAAGGTTTCTCACTCTGCTCCTGGTTGATGCTCCTATTCACTCACAGATAAAGCAGTTGAACTTCTGAACACCTACATGAGTGAATGATGAGTGTTTGTTTAATGCACCTCAGAGCTGATGGCAATTATTCCTGCCATGCTTGTATAAATGAGGTGGACCTAAGTCAACACAGCAGGGCGGTGGCCAGGAGGGGCTGCACCCCTGGGGCTGGTCTAATTTATCTGTGTGGCCCAGGCACAAAGCCAGGAAATTAGGTAGTTTGAGCCACTAGAGCTTTGCTAATATAAAACACAATATGCACATGCACACCCAGCATCGGAGCTGCATTGCATTTCTACATCTCTCAGAGGGAGACCAGAATGAAGATTAATTCAGTGATGAGATTAACCTCACAGCAGCCTGCTGGTCAGGGCTCACATGATGCTTGAACAGGAAACAGAAGAAATCAGGTTGGTCATATGGTTGCAAGTAATTCTGGTTACCTGTGACTCAGGGTTAGAGCTCATCTCAGGCCAAGGTGATAGAATCATGACATATTTGGGTGCTTTCCCTTTAATAAACTGCTCCAGAAATGCTCATAAATATGTTTAATTTGGTTCTTAGCCACAAGCAGTGAAGTAGCTTCTAAGATAAAGAAGATGGTTGATAAGAGGGCAGTTTAATACTACACCTGCATAAAGTTTGGGAGCTCATAAGACACCAATTTAAATAACTGGGTTAATGCTTTCTAAGATATTACTCTGGTTGTTCGATATGATTATGGTATAGTCTTTTTAAACTTCCATTATCTATACCACTTATTCCTGTGCAGGCTTATGCGGGGGCTGGAGTCAATCCCAGCTGACACTGAGCGAAAGGCGGGGTCCACCCTCGACAGGGCGCCAGTCTATCACAGGGCTGACATGTAGACAAACAACCACACACACCCACACTTACTCCTATGGGCAATTTAGAGTCACCAGTCAACCTAAGCTTCATGTCTGGACTGTGGGAGGAAGGAGGAGTACCTGGAGAGAATCCACACAGGCACAGGGAGAACATGCAAACTGTACAGAAAGGCTCAAACCCAAAATCTTCTTGTTGTGAGGCAACAACGCTAACCACTGTACCATTGTGCTACCCTCTTTTTTTAAACTTATTCTATGTTACTATGTGTTTCTGATTGCTAATGTGTATTATTTGCAATGTTAAATATAATAGACAAGTAGTTTTGCAAAACTTGAGACAGTGCACTTCTGCAACAGTTTTAAGGTAAAACTTAACCTTGTTGTGTTTAATATTAGGCCACAAAAAACTAGTTTTAGTATGGGTAATTAGCAATTAACAGCCCACTGGTGCTTGGTGAATTCCAAGATATCCAGACCTTTAGTTCTTTTTGGTTCAAACTCTAAAAGTACTTTAT